AGTCCCACAATGTACCCATTTTACAGAAAGACAAGGTGGCAAGAGACAAGAAACAACACCCAGGGTCCTGAATATACAGTGGGACCATCCACAGGACCCCCCATGGATAGCAAAATCCATAAATGTTCAAGTCCCATTTAATACAATGGATAGTAAAATGGTGTCCCTTACACACAACAGCAAAATAAAGGTATCTTTTAAAAAAGTATTTCCAAGTTGTAGATGCTTGAATCTATGGATGAAGAATCCATGAGTACAGAGGGATGACTGTGTAGTGAAAATCGGGTTCGAGCCCTGAATGCAAATCCACTTCTTCGAAAATACAGTTCTGTCGCATGTGTTCAAGACCTCTCTGTCTCTCTTTGCCTTTCACAGTAAAACCTGGAGTGGATTCACTGCCCTGATGACATGGAAACCCTCAGATGCCAGCGTCTAAGTCTTACGCTTTCTCAGCTGGTTTTAAAATGTCCTGGTTTCCTTCTCCTCCTCCCGCCTTGTCCTCAGCTTACTTCTGTTGCTGCAAATTGAGACTTTTGCACTGCACAAATGATGCTGTTTGGCAATTTTCCTTTAGTCCCAAATTGTCTAGCCTTGCTGAGACTGTGAGATTGAAATATCTATTTACTTTATTCACTGTCTCCTTGGCTTCCTTGCCTACCCTTTTTCTATGAATGCATAATTTAAATTCTATTTCCAAAATATCAAACAAAGGTTTTATGTCACTGTCAAGCTAGAAAATCAAGGACTGAAGGAAAAATTCATTTTGAGGCAGAATTCGTATCTGGGGGATTGCAATGTTCTCTTTTTGCTGGAGCTACATAATAATAATAATAATAATAATAATAATAATAATAATAATAATAATAATAATTTATATACCGCTTAATGACAATCAATCCAAGAGGCTTACAATAAAAAAAATGCATACATCAAATTCCCAGAAGCATCCCACCTCCCAATAAAACAGTATTAAATAACATATAATTAAAATAACAATAAACAGAATTTTAAAAAACTTACAATCTAAAAGCATTACAAATCAAGATAACTAAAATACATTGCTACACCCCTGGTGCAAATCCCTAAGGATTTGCTGAAGTTGCAAGGCAGTGCAGCCACCAAGTACAGAAAAATGCTATTTTAAAAATGAAATTTTCTGATGACTTGCAAGGTGTGGTGAACAATCTATCCTGCATTCAATACAGGTGAAATTTTGCTTTTCTCCAACTGACCTGACAGAAGCATTGCCTTCTGGGATCCCCAAAGGCTAGTGGGAAAATCCTTCATCCCGCAGAAGTAGCCCAGTTGATCTTTTGACAGAAAAGTCCGGTGGGTTGGAGAGACCCTCTTCTCCTTCTTCTTGTTCTTCTCCTGACCAAGACCGGAGTCCCCTTGGCCAGCCTCCTGTTGGGTCTGGATGCAACAAATGTCCCTTGGTCTTGCGTTTCTCCTTTTTGTCCTCCAGAAGGAAGGAAGGAAGGAAAGAAGGAAGACAAGTTGCACAATGGATGATGCTCCTGTGGTCACACTGGCAACGCTCGCCAGGGTCCCCTTCTGCCTTCTTTGGACCTGTGGGCGCCTTTGATTTACGCCACCTTAAAGTGACTAAGGATGAGTCCATTTGGCTTAGGAAGATGGGAGGGAGGACAGCTCAGTTCTGGGTTTTTGTGGGTCAGGGGTGGGCTAGGTGGGAGAGAAGATACCATCATAAAAAGAAGTAATAAAAAAGTGATTTGGGGGGTGTACAAGAGGGAAATTCTGGCTGGATTTTCTTTTCATAACAAAAGGGTTGGAAATCTTTGGGGTGTCCTGGTGTTGTGGGGCCACACGCAGCCTATGGTCAGCCCTTTCCTCATCCTTGCCCACAGCTAACCTTCTGGCCTTCTCTACTCCACAAAGGCACACATTGTGCGTTGTAGTAGGGAAGTCGATGCTTCGCGAATTTCACTCTTGACGGAAGCAACGAGTAATCTTAGCCATTTTCTTCCTGCTACATGAAAGTCTTCAGATTTATTTATTTATTTTTTTGTATTTTATATGCATAAAAGTAATACTTCTGCAGAGAAATATTATTTTCTAGGTGGAAAAATCCACCACTTAAGCAGTCCTGCGAGACAGACACTTGACCTCTGCTTAATTCTTTGAATTGATTTTACTGTACACCAGCCTGTGATCCAGTGGCATCCTCAAGACTGATGTCACCTGGTGTGTTGTGTTGTCTTGCAAACCCTCAAAAAGCCTCCAGGTCTGGCATGGCTGCAGCCACATGGGACTCTGAAAGGTCTTTGGGGTCCGGCACGGCTACTGGCAAACTGGACCCTCTGAGCATCTGAAGGGGTGGCACTGTGGCCTCTGGAGGGTCCATTGAGTGTCCAGTGCAGCTGCTGGACAAGTGGGAGAGTGCCCTTTCTTGCTTGCCCAGTAGCCATGCCAGTCCCTCCAGGTGTACCACCTCCCCAGGTGTCTCCCCCTCTGAGATCTCACCTGGTGCAATCCGTACTCCCCACACCCTCTTAGTGACACCACTGTTGTGATCTTTGGATATAGGGCATGGATGTAAGGATTTGATAAAACTCAGATATCTTCAGAATCATGGGGCGGTGGTAGAGGAGGAGAAAGTTGCTTCATGTTGCAGTGATCCAACCCTCCGAAGGTTTATGAGTAACCCCATCACCCAGTGTGTTCCTTCCCCTTCCTTCCAACTCATAAACACAACCCAACCCAGGTTTTCTCCTCCTTGTTCAGTTCTGGGCCCAGTTGCAACACATTGTGCCCATGTGGCAACCTGTGGCTGGGAGCTTCCTGGCAAACATTGGGAAAGAGGTGGTTGCCGAGTTCGTTTCTCCGCCGTCACCACCTGATATCAGTTGCTCGAAATGTAGCAAGCCACCAGACTGACGAAAGCCGGGGAAGAGGCAACCAGGCTGAAGATGAAGTGGAAAAGTTACACGCCCGGCTGCAATGGGCCGTGTACACCGAGGACGAGTTTCCATCATGGATGGCTGGACATAATGATGCCCCCTTGTGACCTTGTTTGGATGTGCCTTGTCTCATTTTGTATTCAAAAATACAATTTCATTGCACTTTTTAACAACAAAACACAGCATTCCTATCATTATTATGTGCTCACTTTCACAAGGACTCTCTTGAAATGAAGGAAGATGGCCTTTTTTGGAGAGCTGAAGACAGGTTGAAAGAGACAAAGAAACAGTCTCCAGTTTTCATGCATCATGTCCAAGAGCAAATTATCCACTTTTGGTGGGCTCAGACAATAGGATTGAACCGGGTGCCAATCTTGAGCTCAGCTAGGAGAACAAAAGCTCACTATTGTACACAGTTGTCATGGGATTCACACTATTATTTACACACCTTAATGGATTAGTTGCTGCAACTTACAAAGACTGTCCGGGGGGGGTGGGTGTCTATGTATTTACTGATTTAGTGTCCTCTTTCCATCCAAGTTGTTGTGGAGCCAGGGCTCACCCTCCACTCCGGATAGAAGCGAGTGGGCTAGAGGAAATGGCCCTTATTGCATTTCCATAAGTAGATGAGGAACTGCAGTTGGTACTTAATGAATAACACTTCATGACATGACCAGGTACTAAATGGCATGACATGGACGTCTCAGGTTTTAGCTCTGCAAACTAACATTTGGGGGATTATTCTGAACCAGGGATCCCAATTACAATACTACTGATATCTATCTATCTATCTATCTATCTATCTATCTATCTATCTATCTATCTATCTATCTATCTATCTATCTATCTTATCTATCTATCTATCTCTATGTAAAGATTGCAAAGCAGCAAGATAGGTTTTTGGTATCCTATTTTTGCAAACATGGAACTGAGGCTCAGGATGACAAGCCACCACTACAATGGCCTGAAAATTTGCAAGAACCTGTTTCAAAGATCTCTGTGAAGCACAGATTGTTAATATCAACCTGAAAACAAGGAATTTTATCAATTTCCTTCTCACTGTGCAATTTTCAAAGGCCATTCGCAAATCAGGACTTATTCTGCGAAAAATTCACACGCAGTTGTTTTACATAGAAAACAGCCATTTTTTCTGTGCAGGAATATTATTTGGGGGGTAGGAAAAAGTTATTTTCTGTGTAGAACAACCAGATGCAAATTTTGCATAGATCTGCAAAGATTCTTGTCCTCCTCACTGTGGTTTTTAGACATTTGAGAAATACTTTTTTTGACTGTTTCCCCAATATTTCCCAATAGTCTTCTCATCCCTAGTGTGGAGATGAGCGAAGTACCCAATGCATGCTCTAAAGCATGAGTTACTTTTGCACTGCAAGTATCTTCATAACCTGAACAAACAAAGAACAAATTGTATAATCCTGTGTGACTGAGATCATTATGTCAGAAGCCTAACAACACTCCAGAAAAGATGGTTACCCAATTCCTGGCTTGTACATTCATGAGCATATAATGTGTCCTTGCCTCAGTTTCCTGTTTCTTTGTCTCTTCTTAGCTTCCTATTTCTGGCCATTATCTCTTCTAAGAGTGGAGAACCTTTGCTCCTCCAGATTTTTTGGACTAAAACCCATACAATCCCTTACCATTGGCCATGCTGAGTTTCACTGGTGGATGTTGGTAGCCCAAACAAATCTACAAATCCCAAATTTCCATAGCATGGAGCCGTAGCAGCTAAAGCAGTGTCAAACTGAATTATTTCTGCAATGCAGATTAAACCAGAGGCGTTAACTTTAGCCAAATCATCTGCATATAGCCCCAAAATCAAGCTACTGTTAGGAGCACAGGAGCTTGTTGTTGTTGTTGTTGTTGCATGTTTTCAAGTTGTTTCTGCCTTGTGGCAATCCTAAAGTGAACCTATCATGGGGTTTTCTTGGCATGATTTGTTCAGAGGAGGTTTCCCATTTCCTTCCCCTGAGGCTGAGAGCATGTGTCTTGGCCAAGGTTACCCAGTAGGTATTATTATTATTATTATTATTATTATTATTATTATTATTATTATTATTATTATGGCCGAGCTGGGAATTGAACCCTGGTCTCCCAAGTGGCAGTCCAACACTCAAACCCATATGCCACACTGGCTCTCAGCACAGGAGCTAGGGCTTGTTAAAAAGTGGGAATTTGGCTTCCCTGCCTATTGTGGTGAGCCTTTACCCATTGCTCCCCAAAAGGAAATGTTCACTGAAAATAATAATAATAATAATAATAATAATAATAATAATAATAATAACAGGAAAACAGAGGTCACACATTTGCATGGCATTTGTGTGTGCTGACAGGTGCAGGTGTGCATTTAGAAATGTTTGTGGCAATTTAAATAGAATATGTAGAAGACATTATGCCCTCCAGCGTTTCACAGGTGGACGCTGAGATATATGTACCCAAGCAACCTCATTGTGTGGTTGAGATGCTACAAATTATTAATGAGGAAGAACACACAAACTAGGAGAGGCTGCAGCAGTTTGCTTTTGCCTGAGTCTCCTGGGAAAGACAGGATTCTACCCCTCCTCTCCTCTCTCTTCTGCTGAGTTAAAAGAGTGCAAACTATGTTTGCATTTTGCACTCAGTTTGCAGAAATGGAAGTAAGCCAATGACAAAGGGGGAAAGTGGGAGGAAGGGAGAAAAACCAGAACATTTTAAAAGCAGCTGAGAAAGTGGGAAGACAGAAGATTAATTTTAGGAAGCGGCAGCAGGGACTTTCAATCATGTTTTATCCTTGGTCTTTTTAATGGAAACTGAACTTTGTTGGAGGAGGAGAGACCTCTTACCGACCTTTTTTTTTGGGGGGGGGGGGTTCCTCTCACTTTTTAAAACCTATATCTCCCGGGGAGTGTTGTATACACCTGTCATGGGATTCACACAAGCACCCCATTGTCTCCTTGTTTTGCATAGCTGGTATCTGCCAGAAGCTGGGATTAGCTTGGTTTTGACTTTGAATAGCTGAAACGTGAGGCCTTCAAAATATAACTTCTTTGCATGCTTCCAGACGGAGAGCTATCCATGGTCCAACCCTCATCCTTGTGTCTTGCACCAAACCAGGCATCCAGGCGGTACAAGGAGAAGCAGCAGCATCGGCCCAGGGTCCTGGATGCAGATTTGATAACCCAAGAAGCAAGATCACACCAACTTTTTCTCTACTTTGGGAGAAAGAAGAGGAGGCTATTTATGGAGAGACCCTTTCAGGTGGCTCCATGATTTCGGAGATAAGTCATCACAATAATTTTTATCCAGCTCAGGTCCTTCAAGCAGCGCTGATGGAACATCAAGCCTCCATGACAAGGAAGACATCTTGGCCAAAGTTTCTTCTTTTAGGTAAGAAAGTTGCTTGGGATTTAAAAAAAAAAATTGGGATTCCAACTCCCTGAATCCCTATTCCATCATTGTACTTTTCCCAACTGGAATACAACCATTGAATTACTGGAGTTTAGGAAAGTGTCGACGTACCGTTCAGGAGCTGACTCAATGAGTTCATAGAATCATAGAATCCAGAGTTGGAAGAGAACCCCAAGGACCATCCATTCCAACCCTCTTCTGCCATGCAGGAACTCACAATCAAAGCACCCCCTGTGACAGATGGCCATCCAGCCTCTGCTTTAAAACAGCCTCCCAAGAAGGAAACTCCATCATCCTCCCAGGCAGGATATTCCACTCTGAAATAGATCTGACCCTCAGAAAGTTCTTCCTAATGTTCAGGTGGAATCTCTTTTTCCTGCAGTTTGCATCCTTTGCTCCATCTCTGGAGCAGGAGAAAACCAATTTGCTCCATCCTCAAGATGACATCCCTTCAAACATTTAAGCAAGGCTCTATTATTACGTCTCCCCATAACCTTCTCTTCTCCAGGCTAAACCTACCCAGCTCCCTTGGTGGCTTCCAGACATTTCACCATTTTGGTCACCCTCCTCTAGACATGCTCTAGTCGACTCTAGCAATAGGATTTGTCACAAGTTTGGCCAGGATTTTGGATATTATGGTCATTGCACACAACCCGACAAAGGGGAACTGAAACATTATAGGGAGCAGGTGAGGAAAGGACTTCCAGAATGCCAGCGAAGGAAGGTCAAGATCATTCAGTGTACAATTTTGCATTTATGGATCTTTTATCCTTTCAGCCTGCGCCATCCTCAGCTTCTTCCTCCAACTGACTTTGGCCGCAGGAGCAATGGACAAGATGGACACCACGCGTCCATCGCAGCTCATAAATGACCAGGAAAGGATTGTTTCACAGAACAGCAGCTTTGGTGAGTGGGATGCCATGAGGCAGGTGTATCTTTGCTTCCTCCCAGATGCTGGGAAAAGTACGTTGTTGTTGTTGTTGTTGTTGTTGTTGTTGTTGTTGTTGTTACACTTGGCTGTCACCAGCCAGCATGGATTCTGGGAGCTGTAGTCCCAAAACAACTTTCCCAGACTCTGCTCACCTCCCATTTTGTCTAGGGTCCAATTGGCGCTGCAGAAATTATGCAGTTTGATACCACTTTCACTGCCATGGTTGAATGCTATAGAATTATAGGATTTGGCATTTTGTGAGATATTTAACCTTCCCTCTCAGAGAGCTCTGGTACCACAATAACTACAAATCCCAGGAATTCCATAGCATGACGTCATGACAGTTAAAGTGGTGTCAAACTGCATTATTTCTGCGCTGCAGGTGCAAACTATATTATATGTTCAAACATTACACAGAGGATAGCAGGGAGGACACCTGTGGCCAAGCAACATCAGAGTATGGTCAAAATGCTAGAAGTTATGAATGATGACGAACAGACAAGCTGAGAGGCTGCAGCAGTTTGCATTTGCCTGAGCCAACTGGGAAGGGCGAGATTTTTTCCTCTTCGCTCCTTTCCCAGTTGCTGTGATAATGGAGTACAAACTACTTTTGTGATTTGAACTCAGTTTGCAGAAATTGAAGTGTAAGCTGAGCAAAAAAAGAGGGAAAGTGGGAGGAGGAGAGAGAAACTGGGACATTTTAAAAGCAGCTGAGAGAGTGGGAAGAGAGAGGATTAATTGTTTCTGCCAAATCAGGGCATCTGAAGGGTGTGAGGTATATATGGATTTTTTATTATTATTATAAAAATTATATATGTATATATTTAAACATGGGAAACTGACACCTTTCATCCTCAATTCAGGTTTGATTTGTCTTCTTTTCCCATTTTTGCATGGTTGCAGATGGATGGAGCTTTGTTGAAATAACTCCTTCTGGAAACATAACTGTCCACTTGGGTTCAACCCTGACCCTCAGCTGCAACATAGTCGGCTCAATTCCTGACCTGTGTTACCGCTGGTTTTTCAATGATACCAGGACAAATGTGACAGAAAAGCATCTAACCATTAATTCGATATCCTGGGACAACAAAGGGATGTATAGATGTTGTGTGCACAGCCCTGCAAACAATCTCACAGACTGTGCGTCTACATCCGTGAAAATAACAACAGACAAAGGTGAGCCAAGAGCTTCCTCCTATCTATCTTATTTATTGAAATATGAAATATTTTGATTTCAAGACTGCTGGGTGGCTTACACCAAAATCGGTGTAAACCAGTTGTGTTCAAACTTTGATCTACCAAGTTTTGGAGTTGAAGTCCAAAGCATCTGGAAGGCTAAATTTTGGGAACCACTGCTTTAAACCATTTAAAACTGAGAAGAACAAAGAATAATCTTAAACCTTCTCATGCAAATGAAATGAATGCATTTTGTTTAAAAAAAAGTAATAATTTAATATATTTATAAAAGTCAAAACAGTCTGAGCTGCTGTTGCATAGCAGAATTAATGCAGTTTGACACCGTTTTAACTGTCATGGCTCCATCCTATGGAGTCCTGGGATCTGTAGTTTGTTGCGGCACCAGAGCTCTCTGACAGGGAAGGCTAAATATCTCACCAAACTACAAATCCCAGGATTCCATAGCATTGCACCATGACCATTAAAGTGTTTTCAGACTGCATTGTTTTTGCAGTGCAGATGCAGCCGTAGATTGCCGAAAACAAAATTGTGGGATTTTGAGGAAGGTAGTCCTAAAAAAGGAGGACACTTTCTCCAACTTTGCGTCTGAATTGGTCCCTATATAGCTCAGTGTTGCTGAGACTGACTGGCAGGATTTAAGTTTGGGTGTCTTTTTCTTAATGAATTAAGTCAAATTCAAGCTAAAGTTTCACAGATTAACTTTGTGTTGTTGTTTTTTTTAATGTTCCAGAAGCCATTTTGGAAATATCTGTGAAGGTCATTGTTGGCGCTGTTTTTGTTCTGGTGGCTGGAATCGCTTTGATTGCGACCTTGGTCTACTATTTATGTGAGTAATATTCTTGAATTCCCAAATTCCTAGAATCTTGGGTTTTATTTCCACACTCCATGATGAGCAGAGAAGAATATTGTAAGAGGAAAGAGGAAGAAGAATAACAATAACAACAACATCTTACCTGCCTCTCCCCATAAATCAAGGTGGGCAACAACAACAAACCAACAAATACATTGTTGTTGTGTGCCTTCAAGTCATTTCCAATTTATGGTGAATCTGAGGCAACCCAACCATGGGTTTTCTTGGCAAGATCTGTTCATTGCCATCCTCTGTCATCCTCTGAGGCTGAGAGAGTGTGACTTGCCCAAGGTCACCCA